ACACGCACTACAACACCGACACTGCTGACACGCACTACAACACCGACACTGCTGACACGCACGACAGCACCGACACTGCACACACACACGACAGCACCGACACTGCAGACACGCAGAAAATGCTTAGAAACTTTTAAGCAATAAAATGAATCATTGTGTTTTTATTTTTTTCTTCTTATTGCTATTATTTTATCAAACTTTTTTTTAAATTGTGTGTAACTGTGTATATCTGTAATTTAGTGTTACCAATGCTTTTGCAGTCTAAAGCTTTTTACCATGCCAATAAAGCTACGTGAATCTGAATCAGAGAGAGAGAGAGAGAGAGAGTTTGTGTGTGTGTTCTTCTACTTTACCTGGTGAGTAATACCACTAACATGTTTGTAAAGGTGGTGATCTTTACACAGAGTAGTTTTCTCGAACTGTTTCTCGAACTGTTCACACTGGGGTTATAACGGTTTTAAAAAAAATACTTCACAAATGTATTTATTGTTCTGATGAGAAATTGCTACAAAATTATCCAGAACTGTACTCTCATTTTAATACTCCCATTTTTTCCCCCTTCAGCTTCTTTACTGTTAAATGGATGCATTTAGCTCTTAAGCAAGAGGATGAAAGAAAGAAGATAGATTTTTCAGGAGACAAATACGCCGAATGTCACTGACTAGCTTCCATATTAATGGCAGGAAAACAATAATGACATTCGCATGATTCACGTCTAATACATAGCAACACTCAGCACTATCCGGCTCTGGCTAGTTGATGGAGCAAAAATAAAAAATATTAGGCCAAATTGTGTCTGCAGTGTCAGTCAGTATTCATTTCTTGTTTATAGAACTGTTGTATAAAAGCAATATCACACTTGCAATCATGCTGTTGTGCTGAATATCAGCACGGCCGTGATTATCTGCGAACCAAATCATATTGCTGATATAATGCTGATTTTCAGTACAACAGCACTCTTGGAATATTGCTTAAATATAATAATAATAGTAATAATAATAATAATAATAATAATTTGAAAATTGAGCTGTAGAAACGGGTGATAGAAATTGAATGAGAAATGTGTGCGAGAATTTTGTTCATCCATCCATCTATCCGTTTTCCGTACCATTTATCCTACACAGGGTTACAAGGAGCCTGGAGCCTTTCCCAGGAGACTCGGGGCACAAGGCAGGCACAAACACACATACACACACACACACATCCATTCACACACTTCAGACAATTTAGAGATGCCAGTCAGCCTACAATGGATGTCTTTGGACTGGGGGAGGAAACCCCCAAAGCACAGGGAAAACAAGCAAACTCCACACACACAGGATGGAGATGGGAATCTAACCCCCAGCCATGGAAGTGCGAGGCAAATGGAGTGTGTCCTCACTGCAGCTTGTAGCACGATGATGTGTTGGGTTAGATCCACTATGTACTGGACGTTCTAACCCTGACCGACATATTGTCTCTGCCATCGATCAGTCCATCATTTTCTACAACTTTCACATGCATGATTAAACATTCTTGACTTTACTGAACCTTACATGTGTAGCATGTGCGTGTGTTACAACATCCAGAATGTAGTGGATCTAATCCAGTCTGTCATCGAGGTACTTCTTGGGTAAAAGTGCTAACCACTAAGCCACCATGCCCCCCAAGAATTTTGTTCACACAGCGAGTGGTGTTGGGTTCGAACTGTGAAGGGTTTGGAAGAAGTGATCTTTGTATTGTGAAATTGCTTGTTGGAAAATAAAACCAAAATATTATCAACCAGCTTCTCTGAGTGAATGTAAAAGTGTGAATTGACTGATTTTTTTTTGTAGAAATTGACTATATGAGCAGTTCCTTTTGAAGTTATGAGACTCGAATTTGGACGTCAGAATGAAGTTTCTGAGTTTCAGAATGAAGTTTCAGGTCAAACTTCAGGGTAATAATGTGAGCGAGCGGGTTGTGCAGGGTGGCATTTTGCTCCAGTCCTGCAGGGGGCGCTGAATACAGGCTGAAACCAACACCAGCACACAATTCTGAGGAGAAGGAGAAGGAAACCAACTGCACAGGAGAGAATCATTAGCAATGAGTACTTACACTCGAGAGTATTTTCTCCTTGTGTTATGAGAAGTTTAGGCATCTGGAGTGAGGAGAAATTAATAGACAGAATTAAAGATGCAGGCTTTGGAAGAAGGTAAGTGTTTTGTGTTTACTGCCAGTGTTTCAGTGCAGTGTATACTGATCATGAACTAGTATGTGTGTGTTAACTGTGCAATCTCTCCACTTGTGCCTGTGTTTAGGTAGTGCCTTGTTTCTGCACTGTGTGATTTCTCCTCTCAGACTGCTCTCTGCAGCCATGTGGCATCTGATCCAGCAGGAAGCAGTAACACACTACGCCATGCTGGAGGAGTTTGTGTCTCTCATCACAGACACTGTCCCTGATCTGCTGAGCTACAGACAGAAGACTCAACTCACCATGGGGCTCAGAGCAAGGGTGAGCAAAACATTACTGCATGACACTCAGGAGAGGCTCCTCGGAGTACTCGATCTCATAAATATCAGTTTATCTGACATCCAGGCTGAGGCTGGGTTCCTGGAGGACTAGTGGTTAGGTCTTGGCTCTCTCACCACCGCAGCCCGGGTTCGATTCCCAGCCAGGGAACTGTCCCCAGTCCCTGGGGTTGCACATGATGGTGCACTCCCAGTGCCGGCCCCAAGCCCGGATAATACTGGGGAGGGTTACATCAGAATGGGCAGCCAGCATAAAAAAAAACTGTGCCAAATCAAACATGCGGACTAATGACCTCCTGTGGCGATGCCTAACATAAGCAGCCGAAAGAAGAAGAAGAACAACATCATCCAGTCTGAGGCTACAGCGAGCACCGGCTCACCGAAACTGGACAGTTGAAGATTGGAAAAAGACCAGATAATCTTCAACTATCCAGTTTTGGTGAACCTTTTCCTACTGAAGCCTCAGATTCTTGATCTTGGCTGACAGGAGTAGAATTTGATGTAGTCTTCTGCTGTTGTAGCTCATCCACCTTGAACTTCGACATGTTGTGCTTTCTGAGATGTCTTTCTGCTCACCACGTTTGTAAAGAGTGAGTTCATCAGCCTTGTGATGTTATTTAAAAAAAAAACGTTAAAACTGGTCTCTTTTTTCAGCATGTTCTGGAGTTATGTGGCATGGAGACTCCGGCTGATCCAGATACAGTTCAGGTCCATTTACAGCGGATCGAGACACTTGTTGCACTTCACAAGGAACTGGAGGTCAGACATTTGTTCGTCATGTCGCTTCGTTTATTTATATAACTTCATGTGTTATATGACTTCTTAGTATGCGTCTTCTAGGGTAAAGATGTAGTTGTAAGACTGCTAGACATTTTGTGTTTCTGAAATAGTTCAGCCAAAATGATTTCACAATGTCCACAATTTTACACAAAATGTAGTCAATCAGCAAAGATATGTTTAGTGTCTGAAGTCTGCTTTCTTAGTGTTTCATTAGAGCTACAAGGGAAAGCTTCTAGCTACCAGTTTAGCATTGTACAAGCCATTACTTTGAATTTTTGAGTCATGCATCCATGTTTTAGCCTGTTTTTTTTTTTTTTTTTTTTTTTTTTTTTTTTTTTTTTTTTTTTTTTTTTTTTTTTTTTTTTTTTTTTTTTTTTTTTTTTTTAAATAAATCTTTGAGTTACTGTGTTATAGTCTGGTGATACACATGTGGAAGAATCTGGAGCAAACTTTGTGGCTCTGGTGCAGATTTTAATGAAGGACCCAGCTGAGAGAAGCATCTTCTTTAAGGTCAGAGATGCATTATCTCAGCATTTGTAATGTTTATAAAAGATACACAATCTTATATTTATGGTATACTGCTTTGTTTTTAATGTACATTTTGGGTGAAAACGTATCTTGAATACTTTATTTCCTTTTTGAAGGATGTATATCCCTTGCAGTATGGTGTGAAGTTCAATACGGCGTTGCAGAAGCTGATGTGGCTGTTCCTGTCTAGACTAGAAAATGCTTTCCCACAGCCTACTATGGAGGAGGTATTAAGACAGTATCATAGTAGTAGTAGTAGTATCAAGTAGTTATTTTTTATTCATGTCTTTATTCTGTGCTGATGACAAGAAAGAGCAAATCCATACTTTCATTCTAACATGAAGCTCCTAGGTGGGTTAGTCATGTAAAGGGGTGTGATCAATTTTGTTGCATCAGGGTGTGTTATGGTCAATGCTATTTAAGCAATCAGCCAAGATTAAATCACAACTGCAGGGAATGAATTAGTGTTTAGAATTGTATTGTAGAAAGTGCCAGCTTTTCAGATTAGGGGTCTGTCCAAGACCTTCATGTTTTTACCTCATCACTTTGTCTCATTGTTAGAAAAAGAGGCGGCCTTGATAGTGCCATAGTTTTGAACCGTTCCCCTGTAGCTAAGGCAGTATTCTCAGCATCATTGTCCTGTTGGAAGGTGAACCTCCACCCCAGTCTCAAGTCATCCATCTGGCCCAAACTTTCAACCCTGACCAGTTTCCCAGTGCCTTCTGATGGAATGCATTAGTACAACATGATGTGACCACCACCATGTTTCACTGTGGGGATGGTCGTCTCAGGGTGGTGAGCAGCGTTGTTTGTTTCTGCCAAACATGGTGATTTGTGAATATTTATGTAAGGCACTGTAGGTTAGACCACTGGCTCTCAAAGTGGGGTCTGTGATTTTTGTTATTTTGTAGTAAAAAGTACAACCCAAGACATTTATTATTGAGTTCTTATTATTAATGATCTATTTGACTAATCCCTTGAATTGAATGGTTTCGGTCCAAATGTCAATATCTCAAGAGCACATATATATAGTGTAAGAGCCTATAAATAGTGTCAACTTGGAGGTATTGTGTTCTGTTGGTGGAAAGTTCAGGCATTAAAAGTTCTGTAGCTTTAATAAATAGAGAAATATTATTGTTGCACCACTGATCATCATGTGGACATTTTCATCAGCAGTAGACTGCACTGCACAATCTAACAACACGCTTATTCTTAACATAATACACACTCTCCATAGAATCAAATATCATTTCACAAAGAAATGAATTCCTAAACTCTACTGATTGTATTCATAGCCCAGGAAGGAGACAGCTGTTGCATTTTTTTGAAGTGTAATGTCCGATAATAGATAATTAGATAATAAATAAATAGACAGTGACGCACTGACCAGTGTTCCAGTCTGTATCGTGACTTATTGGACTTTTAACTGAAACAATGACTATGAGGATAAAGTGCAGATCGGCAGCGTGCATGCCAGGTGAACTGTGTACAGCTCTTTTTAATACATGCAGTCACTCATAATAAAACCTCTGGAAAATAATTTAAAAGCTCAGTTAATTAAGAAGCTGAGCAAACTTGTTTGGCTTTGACAATATTTTTGTTGTTTTCTGCTTTTTTTTTTTTTTTTCTTTCCCCAGGCTGCCCATATGCTCAGCACAGCACCTACAGTCATGGAGGAATGTGTTCAGTCTCTCTCACAACCTCAACAAATGAGAAACGTTCTTAAATACCAAAGAGAAGCCAACGTAGAAATGAAAGGTTATAATTTTTCATGTGTTGACCTTAAATTAACCTTTTCTCTTTGTTTGGTCCAGACCCTGTGTACTATATACACCAATTAGCCATAACATTATGACCACCTGCCTAATATTGTGTAGGTCCCCCTTTTGCTGCCAAAACAGCCCTGACCTGCCGAGGCATGGACTGCACTAGTTTCCTGAAGGTGTGCTGTGGTATCTGGCACAAAGACATTAACGGCAGATCCTTTAAGTCCTGTAAAATGTGAGGTGGGGCCTCCATGGATCGAACATGATGGCCAGCACACCCCACAGATGCTCGATTGGATTGAGATCAGGGGAATTTGGAGGCCAAGTCAACACCCTGAACTCTTTGTCATGTTCCTCAAACCATTCCTGAACAATTTTTACAGTGAGACAGGGTGCATTATCCTGCTGAAAGAGGTCACTGCCATTAGGGAATACCGTTGCCCTGAAAGGGTGTACTTGGTCTGCAACAATGTTTAGGTAGGTGGTATGTGTCAAAATAGCATCCACATGAATGCCAGGACCCAAAGTTTCCCAGCAGAACATTGCCCAGAGCATCACACTGCCTCTGCCAGCTTGTGTTCTTCCCATAGTGCATCCTGGTGCCATCTCTTCCCCAGCTAAACGATGCACACGCACCCGGCCTTCCACATGATGTAAAAGTGTGATTTATCAGACCAGGCCACCTTCTTCCATTGCTCCATGGTCCAGTTCTGATGCTCACCTGTCCATTGTAGGCACTTTTGGCAGTGAACAGGGGTCAGCATGGGCACTCTGAAAGATCTGTGGCTACACAGCCCCATACACAGCGAACTGCGATGCTCTGTGTGTTCTGACACATTTCTATCAGAGCCAGGATTAACTTTTCAGCAATTTGTGCTACAAAAGCTCTTCTGTGGGATCGGACCAGACAGATTAGCCTTCACTCCCCACGCACATCAGTGAGCCTTGGGTCCCCATGCCCCTGTTGCTAGTTCACCGGATGTCCTTCCTTGGACCACTTTTGGTAGGTACTAACCACTGCATACCAGGAACACCCCACAAGACCTGCCGTTTTAAATGCTCTGACCCGGTCATCTAGCCATCACAATTTGGCCGTTGTCAAAGTCTCTCTGATCCTTACGCTTGCCCATTTTTCCTGTTTCCAACACATCAACTTCGAGAACCGACTGGTCACTTGCTGCCTAATATATCTCAACCCTTGACAGGTGCTACTGTAACGAGATAATCAATATTATTCACTTCACCTGTCAGTGGTCATAATGTTATGGCTGATCGGTGTATAGAGAAGGGGAGTGTATTAAAAAAAAAAAAAAGTTTTGTTTTCAAAAAGGTGTTCTTGTGTTTTTAAATTTTTATGTTTGATTCCTCTTTTCAGAAACTACACAGTTATGGTCCAGTGCTCCTGATGATTGTATACTCTCCTGTCTCGGCAGTCCTCGATTAGTGCAAATTTTTCTTGGCGAACAGACGCCTCTAGACACCCAAACAGAGTCAGTGCTCGACTACGTCCCTTCATATTGCCAGGAGGTCCAGTTAGAATCAGTGGTTATTGCCCAGTACGTTGAGAATGAACTGGAGACGAGCCTATCTGAGGAAAATGATGATAGCCTACAATATGATGCCCAAGAGGCCAAAGAATGTGATCCAGTAGTCACTAAAAATTCCACTGAAGTTGTGTATGAAGAGATCGACTCTCTGGACTTGCACACTGTGGACATTGATTTGGATGAAAAGCAAGATCCTATCGAAGACAGTGTTGTGGACATGGAAGCTGCCGATGGCGGAGAGGAATCCCTAACTCCTCAAGAAGAGAAGGGAGTGGTGAAGAATCAGAAGGAAGCAACAGATTTGGTTAGCTTGTACATGATTAAACAACCTTTTGTTAAACTAGACAGGCTTGATCTTTCTAGTAGAAAATTGTCTAAGACTTTCAACCCTGGACCAACAAAACGAGGTCGAGGCCGACCAAAGAAGGATCCTCAAAACAAAACATCGTGCAGGAAGAAGCAGGAAGAGGGGGAAAAAATTATGGTTCCATGTGCATCAATTAACAGGTATGCCTTTATAATAATAATAA